CGTATATGTACATGTGTGTGTATATATCTAGACATAAGTATAACTATGAGCTCACGGAGTTTAGGGCTTGCTTGCTAGAGGGTAGCAGCTTCGACCAACGATTGGGTGCTTGCTGGGAGTCTGGGACTTCGTGGCTGTCGGACTGAAGGATCCCCGATAACCCAAAAGGCCGAGGGGCCGAGGGAGACGGTTTAGGATTTAGGGTTTAGATAGTTTCCCAAATCATGAGTGCTCCTATAACATAGAGACCCTGCATTCTACCATAGTGCTACCCAGGACCCTTTGCGTAACCTAGGAAAGAAGGCCCCCTTCTTCCGTAGCAGGTACTTTGTAAAGAACCCAAGACCACCAAGAGGGTCCACTCGGAGATGTAGGGCTTTAGAGGCTTGCGACTCATTCCCACATGTTTTCTACTGTTGCTCGGATCTTGTAGGTAAACACGCTAGGAGCACAGTGTTTGGGCTTGGTCGGCTTCAGCGAAATATTTTTGGCACGTCGTCGCTTTGATGGCCAAGGCGCTCAACGGCAATCCCGAAACCGAAAAGCCCAAAGCCCCACCCAAACCCCCTAATTAATCCTTAGATGCTCTTCCTGAACTGTAAACCAGACACTAACCCCAAAACCTATAACCTCTGAACCCCCAAACCCTAAACCCTAAACCCGAGGAAAGGTGGCTCGCGAAACCCGAGAACTTGCTAAGAACACTGACGCAATGAGGGTTTTGTTCAGGGTTTCGGGATTTCTGTTTGGTCTGCGGGAGTTTACGGTTGAGGGTGACGCGCCCAATGTTATTCTATCGTCCCTGCTTTCTTTGCTGGGGAGCCACAGATTTTGATTCCGTCAAAACCTTGTCGCCGACACCACGAGCCCTGAACCCAACCGCTGTTAGACAAAGGGATCGGTGTGTTTCCTGCCAAAGAAGATAACAGACTGTTTTTCGTTTAACATATACACACATCTCTATCTAAACATCTGTTTGTCTATCTACCTACCTGTCTGTCATTCCATTTGCCACAAAACCCTTTTCTGAGACCGGACTGCTGCAGGGGCCTTAATAAGTAACAAAGGGTTTTGGGGTACATTCCACCATAACTATAACAAGGAATCGCCAAAATAGTGTAGGTAGTCATTTATGCCCATACATTATGTGCATGTTGCTGCCGAAGGCAGCCTTCGGAGCAGGGACATCGATAGAAGAATACCTGCGCAGTGGCGTTAGGGTTTCGGACTTCAAGTCTTTGGATTTTGGGTTTAGGGGTTTAGGGCTTTTGGGTTTAGGGTTCAGGTTCGGACTTCCTGGCTTTTGGGTCGAGGGGCGTAGGCTTTGGGGGTGTAGGGTTTATAGGGGTTTAAGACTTCTGGGAGTAAGGTTTACGGTCTTTGGACTTCAAGGCTTTTTTGTTTAGGGGTTTGGGACTTCAGGGCTTTTGGGTTGTAAGGTTTGGGATGTTTAGGGGATGTAGGGCTTGCCTCTTATATAGGGCTTTTGGGGCTACAGCCCCTAATTAGGCTTGGTGCAGAACTTTACTCTCCGATCGCTTGAGCCTTTGATCCAAGCAAACAGGCAGTACCGCCGAAATGTAAGTGGAAGCAATTGAGCAATCTCAGAGATCCTCAAGGTAGTCTTTAGGGGCTCACGGTGTCAGGGTTTTGGTTAAGAGTGGCGGTGCCTTTGGCAATTTGGATGGATTCAAGATATTGCAGGATGTTCTTGAGCGTTTAGGGGCTTTGGCTTTATGGATGCTGCTTTGGGTTTTAGATATTTTTCATGTTTAAGGACTTGTGGTTTAGAGGCTGGGGGTCTACTAGAGGCTGAGGGCTCTAATTATAGGTTCAGCTTTATAAGCTTACCGCTTAAGTCTCTCCGACTTTGACCGATTGGTCCCTGGCATCCTGTTATGCTCGACTTTTGGAGGAGGTTCAGGGTGCTGAAAACCAGGGTTTGAGTGTTCTGTCATCGCTCCGCACTGAGGCTGCTGTGAGTTATCATAGCTGTGCTGGTTTTGGTATTGCTGTCTATTTGGTGATGCTGGCTGTAAGAAGTGTGTAGAGTTTGCGGGTAAATAACGCGCTCTGTGCAATCAGGATCGCGAGAGAGCTTTCGCAATTTTTGCAAACAGCATAGACCCTGAATACTTGAACTAAGTAGGGTTTGGGGGTACAGTGTTGCTAGACCCTGTAAGTATAAGAACCACATATACCCCCACTAAACACCCAAGAAACACCCTATCAACACCTACATTACTACTTATTCCGACTCCTCTCTTACACGAACCCTTGAAGCACTAAACCCTGAACCCTAAAACCCTAAAGCCTGAAGCCCTAAAGCCCCTGAACCCTAACTCCTAACAACCCTCAAACTCTGAACGAAGGATGGCGCTCAGCTTCCGACTTAGACAGGAAGTTCCCGCCACCCCCGAAGACCAGAGAGGGTCCCGTATCCGCCTGCTGGGTTAGGTGGGTTGTGGGTTTAGGGTTTGGGGTTTGGGATTTAGGGTTCAGGGTTTGGGGGTTTGGGGCATGTTCGGTGAGTTTTAAGGCTTGGGGTTTTGGGGTTGAGAAGGGGAGCTGTTGGGGCTTTTATCCTGTAACGCACTTTCAAGGCGTGAGCGTTTAGAATACTGGGCCCTGAATGATTAGAATAAGGCTCTGGGGTCTGCTATAGTATACTCATACCAAAGATCCCTAACGAATAATCGTATTACTAACTGCTCCCTCAGGGTATGCATATAACAAGGAATCCTACGGGAATAATCGTATTGCTAACCATCCAGGCCCTCCATATGCATTACCATCATGGAATTATGCCCAAAAAATCCTTACTGTGGTGTTGGGGACCTAGTTCCATAATCGTAATATAGATGGACCCTCTTGGTAAATTCCTTTTTCAGCTTCGTCTGTCTGTGGCCATTCTCAAACCTCTGGCCCACCGACAAACCGAATCCCTCGCACTCAAGCCTATGTTGCAGGGAACTCAATAATTCGGCATAGCATGTTCCTTTAAGGGCTCTCTGCAAAGTTTACTAAGCGGGGTTCTGTGCTATAGGGGCGCCAATAATTTTAAAAGGGGTTGAGGATACTTTGTCATAGTATAAAATAAGGAGCCCCAAGGAAATTGAAGCAATCACGCTAAGGTTCCGACTGCGGAGATGATAAAGACCCAAAGGGTCCTAGGTAGCTATATGGTAGACGGTAAATCCCCCATAACAGTACATAGGACCCTTTGGGAAAACCTTCGGGCTCAGGTTTCTGACAGTTAACCACGTACGCACTAGCTGCTAGTGGTCTGCTGGTGGTCTCCTGGTGGGTCCCCCGGTGGTCTCCTGTTGGTCTCTGGGGGGTCCTCTGCTAACCTCATGGTGATTTCATCGTGGTCTCCTAGTGGTCGTCGTCGTCCTGGCCGTCGTGACTGTCTTGGTCGTCGTCATCATGGTGGTCAGGGTCGCACGCTTCTATCACTGCATTGTTGATCGACGCTGGCATGAGCTGTACGGAGATGTACGGAGATGTACAAGTATATGTACATACATATATGTATGTAAACAGAGAGCCAAAACAACAACAAACGAATCAGACAGAGGAAGGGGAGAGGAGAGAGAGAGTGTGTGTGCGCTGTGTTGCGCTGTGAGAGGCAGTATGCTCGTAGCTTCGGAGTCCAAAAGCAACTTTCTTTCTGCCCTCGCTGCGCCTGCTCTCCCGAGGAGGTAGGCGACGGCGACGACTGACTCGGCCTGTGTTCGGAGCATGGGAGCCAGAGAATTCAAAACCCCGTCATGAATGAAGAGATATAGCCTAATGATCCTTAAGGTGGAAATGTTAAGAAGGTAGATCAGATCCCTCTATAGTTTAAGAAACCTTCCTTGACTATATGGGATTTCGGCATGTGCTGTCCGCAAGCCCACAAGGCATGCGAGCGCGGGATCATAGAGTAGCCACTAAGCCCTTGCATCATGCTTTTAAGAACCCTCTGCGTTTAAAGAGATATTCCTTGGTGAGGGGCTCCCTGGGCTTCGGTACTTCTTTTGACAAAAGGGTTTCAAGGTTTCGGGTGCTAAAGGGTTTCTACCGGATCCTGTCGAGGGCTTGGGTTGGGGGGTGTAGGCAACATAGGGGCCGGACTCAATAGCCATAGTCCTACATAATCACATAAATAAAACTATTCTGCGCCTCAAAGCCCTATTCTCTTTGCTTAGGCCTCCATATAATATTCGGGGCCGAAGACCCAGGTATCAGCTTGCAAGAGCAAGGGGTGGTTGGTAATGCTACACCCAAAACTCCCGAAACCCTAGACAACCCCATCAACAACAGGTAAATTGCAAACAGGTAAACCTCCAATGCGCACCTTGCTTCGAAAAATCCATAGAAAGCCCTGAATGGAAGGGTGAATCGGGTTGTCCGGGCTGAAGCAGCACTGGGTTCCGACAGCATAAACTAAGTCCTAAATCCCAAGCCCCCAAAAACTAAATGCAAAACTCCAAACACGAAGTCACCAGGCCCCAAGCCCTAAAATCGAAACCCTAAGCTCCAAACCCTACAACCTAAACCCCGAAACCCCTAAACCCTGTACCCAAGACCAGTCGAACCCTGAACCGCAGAACCCAGCCTCGAGCCACCGAAGGTGACCCCAGGTTTAAACCTTCGCAGCGAGGGGTTTGTACCTAAAGCAACTAGGGTTAAAAATACCGTAGCCATACTTATACATGAGTATATAACCCCGTGAAGCTACACTTACTAAGTCTCATGATCCTCCAAGTAGGGTCTACTATCAGAGGTAAGGGTCTGGGGCTTAGGGGCTAGGGTTCAGGGATTATAAGGTTTAGGGTGCTTCAGGTTGAGGGCTTGTTGGGGGTTGGATAAGGTTCGATTTAGCGTGCTATGGTTGCTTAGTGTTGGAGTTCAATCTGCTGACGGCTGAAGGACTTTAGCGGAGGCTTCAAGGTTTTGTCTTTTTGGGGTTTGGGTGTTTAAAGCCCAAAACCCTAAAACCCTAAAACCCTAAAACCCAAACCCTAAGGTTTAGCCTTTTGGGGCTTTCAAGGTTCAGACAATCAGGGCGAACTGCAACTGCAAGAAGCTGACAGAAGCAATCCTAAGCCCAAAGCCCAACTTAGCTCCAAAAGAGCCCTCTTCATGAGACCTGGCCCGCAAGCCCTCTCAACACAGATCCCCGGTCTGTTTTCTCCATTGCAGCATCTTTGTTTAAGCCTGCCGTTCAAGCTTCCTTACGTGCATTTAAGGGTGCTAGGGCTTAGGGACTGTAGTCTCCGCTGCAGAACCCTGTGCTTTGATAAGTCCCCTTTCTTCGTTACCCTGCTTCTTGTCATCAAACTCGTTACTTGTGCAAGGATATATGAACTACAAGGGAAGCAGCCCCAAAGGATGACATATCGAGCCATGGCACTCTGCAGCTTCCGGATTCAAGGTGCTGGCCACCTGCTCAGGTCATGCCCAAGGGGGTTTGGGACCTGCGGCCAAAAAGACACCTGTCCGTTTAAGGATATATATATATATATATATACGTATGTATATATATATATATATATGTATACGTATTTCAATTATGTGTGTGTATATCTGTGTATATATATATATATACAAATAGATAGAAGCCATAATAAGCAATTTCAGAACATCAAAGCACTGCATCCTGAACCCGAAACCGGGAGACGCCCTAACTTTAGTCGTCGCCGAATCCTGTGCCCAAAATGTAAAGCTCTTCGGGCCTAGGAACTCGAGGCCGGGGGTTGACGAACACCTAAACCCAAAGGGGTCCTCAATCAATAGAGTTGGTTTGGGGTTTAGGGTTTAGGAGTTGGGTTTAGGGTTTAGGGTTGTGGCCCTGAGCCCGAAACCAAAAAAAACAACTCGGACCCTAAATCCCAAACCCAACTCGTACTCTCTTAGAAGGCGTGCCTTAACCTAGCCTACCCTACTTTTGGTAGGGTGCTAAACATGAAAACAACACGAAAGTATAGGAACCCTGGTATGAAGGTAGGCAGGGCCATGTTCGGGTCGAGATCAGCCCGAAGCCCGGTCCCTCAGTGCCTCCTCATCCTCACCTGTCAGAGTTTCAGGGCTTCTTCTTAAGGAAGAATAGGGTTCAGGATTTGTAGGGCTTAGGTAGGTCTTTGGGAGGCGCTTTCCGTGTTGGGCTTTCTAGGGTGGGAGTTGGAAGATAAGCCCCTAAAGTAGGATCCTTCTTCCCAGAAAGGCATCAGCAAAATCAAGTGTAGTACACTATATATAACCCCGACACCCCATGATCTCCAATCCCAAAGAAACCAGACCTTCACTGCTGAGAAATGTGGGTAGTGGTCAGAATCGTTGTCTGTTTCGGGAACCCTACATGATTCTAGTTTGGTGTGGAACCCTCAATAACAACTCCACTCTCGATACGCTCTTGGGCCAGAGAGCCTAACAGGGACACAAACTTGGACAACCACCAATGTGACTTGAGAACTCATGGTGCCCGGTTTGGAGATGACCTGGAGTGTCTTTGGTTTATCAAGCAAACCACAGTTGCAGTTCCAAGACCCGAATGGATTGAAGTTGGTTACAATGACGTCTTTTTGAATCCTAAGACGTAAACCACAAGCCAGGATGTGAGTCTTCAGGCTACCCCAACCCCCTAAACCTACACCTCTTGAGGGCTTCAGATTTCAAGTCTTGTATGGCTTATCCTTTTTCAGGAACCCCCCAAAGTAGTATAGGTAATGATTAAGGCCCCTATATTCGGGTTTAGGGTTTAGGGTTTCCGACTTTGCCACATCACTTATGGTGTATGATGGTGGCGTCTTGGGATCCACCTCGTCTGCACCGGAACTGTTAGAATCCTTGCCCTCAGGAACCTTTTCGCCGGCTCCCTCCTTGACATCAGTTGCCCGTCCACCTCCTTTTCACAGTCTTTCTCCCTGCCCACAGCCACATTGCTGGCATCACGGAAGAAAGTGTTTGCGATCACGGCAGTGGGCGGCGGCAGCAGTTTGACGGGCATTGGCAACTTCTCACCTGGCTTGTCGCAAACCTTCGAGCTGCAACAACGCACCGCCGCAAAACCTCGAACCACATCCGAGCTGTCTGCCGGACTTTTGGCGAACCTGGATTCCAGTTCCATGATGTACTCCTGCATGTTGGCGTTTACGATCCAGGATGTACGGGACGTCTATGGCATTCTACGACTCACACTTCAGCGCCNNCCCCCCCCCCCCCCCCAATTAAGCCGTGCATGACAGGAATTGGACTTAAATGGAAAACCAAGAGAACCCAATACCCCTGAGTGGCGGAATGTATACACCTGAAGTGAAATCATAGGGATCCCTCTACTGTTAAAGCTGTCTGGGCTCAGGCATGTTGCGTCCGACAGTAAATATGTCGATTTTATCGGCTGCAACGTCCGGAGATTACAACAGAGGTGTGCCTACATGATTACTATCATACCCCCCAAAGCACTTGGTCATATGACCACCATTTCGATGTACGGTTGATTGCAAGTAATGAAGATTCATGCCTTGAACCAAAA